ATATAATAAGATTTTTGATAATATATATATATTTTTTTTTCCAAAACTATCGGAATATTTAAAAGAATGCCGATTTTTTTCTAATCTCCACTACGTATCTTTTCTCGAAAAAGCTGGAGAACATCGTAGAAAACTTTTTATTGAAATAAAAATAGGACATCTGAAATGTCCGACTTTGACACAAAGAGTTGTTCAGCAAAACAAATATATATGCTATTTTTGTGCTAGATTTCTTTCTATAGTCAGATTCTATAGAACTTTGATTTTTAAAAAGTACAGGCCAATTTTTTTAGAAATCCGAAGTTCATTATAAAATTCAAACAAGTTCAAAATGATTTCATTTTTTTTTATTTTTTGAAATTGAGTTTAATTAAAATAATTGGAATTACAAATTCAAATATAAGTTAGAAACTCAATTTTCTATATTTAAGCAGTGTCAATAATTATGCTGATTAAAATAACGTCCTTATCTAAACATTTTCTTTTCTTGTACTTTCAATAACGTGTGTTATCTCCTTACTTACTTGCAAAATTGTCCGATGAAAATATTCTTATTTCTGTACATTAAAGAATATTTTAAACCATATATTAATTCCTTTTGCTTGTATTTATTAAGCCAATATTTTGATTTACATATTTTATTATTTGTAAAGTGATTGTTTTTTATATAAAAATTTAAAAAAAAGAAATAAAAAAGTTCATAAATAGACGTGAAATGTTGTTTAATTTGCTTTTTGGTTTAGAGAAATACTCGAAAATTTAAGATATAATAAATGATAATAGAATAAATGATAAAATACATTGTTTAAAGTTTGTCCGTTACCCAGATCAACTTATGGGTTCCTAATATATAAGTTGAAATTAATTCACGGAAGGCACGAATGTCCCTAAAATCTGTCGAAATATACTTGATTGTTCCAAAAAATATTCCGTAATATCCCGTTTGTTCCGTATTTACGTCTAATCTTTTATTATTGTAAACAATAATCGTTTAACATAGTTATGTATCTCCTTTCTAGACTCTTAGAAATAAAACTCTCTCTACTGACGATTCAGAAATCTTTGAGATATATTTCGTTTATTTAGAAAATTATTTCGTCGCAAAATTACGTGATTTGTGACGAACCCGGAACTCTCAAACCTATGACGAACCTTTAACTCGAAACTTCATCGTAGCGCATTGTGGGGGATTGTTAACTAGAATGACGAAACTAATTGAAGACAAGACAATCAGAAATAAAGTGACAAAAAAAAACTTTACAAAAACTGTAAGGTGGGCAAGGAATCGGCCTCCTATCGATCCTGGGTTTGAATCCTGCTCCGGATATGGGTGTAATTTATTTGTCTTTCTTGTGTTATGAAGGTGACATTGATCCAGTTATAAAGTGTCCACGATAAAGTGATTATTAGAAACGTTCGATACATTAGGCAAAACGACAGTTTTTTTTTGAAGGAAATTGAATGACGAAATTCATTTCTTCGAAGAAGTGACAGAATCTGTTTCGAAATATTCGCTATATAATAGAAAATGGTTTCAGTCAAAAACGAAGAAAGTTTCGTAAAATTTCAGTATTCATTTATATACATATATATATATTCTTTCCAACTTATCTGTATCTTACAAATAAGTTTTATGTATAAAATTATTAAGATTATGTGTATAAAAAACTTTACACAAGTGTTTTACTCAAAGCTCCAATTTATGCAAACTTCTTCACTTATATTAACTTTATTTCAAAGTAAATAACACGTTTAAAGTTTGCTTTGAAATATTGCAGTTGTAAAATATAAATCATAGCTTAAAATCAGAACATTTCAGTAAAATATAATAAGATTTTTGATATAATATTTCTACCTAGTCGTAAAACTTTACGCTCTTGAAGATAAAGTAATATGAGTTTATAAGCACTGTATGTTTAGGGGATTTGTAAAGATCGACTTCAGAATATTTAAAAAGTATTTGCTATAATGTAAAACGTGCACCTTCAGAGTGTTTATAGTAAAATATTTTTAGGTCACTTATACATTATTTAGCGTTGGAAGTGTGGAAAGCGTCTAAAGTTTTTATAGCCAAACCTTTTCTTATCGTTAAAAGAACAATTTTCAGAGATTTTTAATGTTTGGTGACATAGTTTAGAACATTTTGGTAAATTTCTCTGTTAAAACAAAATGAGTTCAGATTAGAGCACAATTAAAAACCTGCTCAATTTTTTTCTTCTCCAAATAAATTTAATAAAGCTAATGTTAACACATTGTTAAAATATGGCTCTTATGAATTATTAAACTAATCATATTTACAGAAATTAATCACGCACTATAGGGTCAAATTGTTCAAATTCTTTATAAACAGAGAAGTATTGTCAAAACTGCGGGAATATTGTGGTTAATTCTATGGGAAAAGCAAAATGTTGGAAGATTTTTACCGAAGCAATTTGGTAATTACCTTGGTAAAATTGGCAATAAATTATGCTTTTATAATATGTGATAAAAATTTGTAAATGTGTTAAAATTTGGTAATTTTATCATGATACATTACAGCATGGCATAAAAACTATTTATTCGGCTAAATTACTTT